TACATTTTCTTCCTCTCAGTTATACTACGATAATACATTAATATAATGATACTTGTCACTTTATATCAGACCCAGGATTCATGCCACAGCATAGAGAATCGTGTTAACACTAATTAGTACTTTATTCGACACAGTTATATGGAGTCATATTCAGTGATTCTCTATTAGCAATCCATGAAGGGAAAGGAAATAGCATATTTAGTGGTCAGCAAGCTAGGTGCTTATTTGTACAGCATATTGTCAAGCATATTTATCTTTCGCCGGTGCACATCACATACAAGGATCATAGAGCCAATCAAACCAAAGGTCGAGGATGAGGGGATGTAGATGTATTTAAGTGGCTGATGACATTCCATTGTGCATCCAATTTAAGCGGGCTAGTTGTCGTAAGAGATGCTGAGGATGGCATATCCAAACTTTGGTCTGACGTGAGTTCTTGACGTAGAGCTTACAGATAGAAGTGTGCCCAGTGAAACAAATGAGGCCATCAATGTTGGATATCTACAAAAGTACGTACTACGGGAACTTATTTACGACGACTGGTTCTGATGGCAGATTTCTTCTGACCTTCACCACAAGACAAGTCAGGATGGATGACATAACTGTAACTTAAGATCATAAAGATTAGGTTGACATATTATGGCAGGATGGTGGTATCATATTAGATCCATTATAGTAGCAGCATAAATGGGTTCACTGATTCTGATATTACACCTTAATCCTACATGTTTATGCTCCGCAGTAAACTTTGCATGGATAGGACGACATACTTTCCATAATGGCTTTTAATCTCAAAACATTTTGTTTGTATCAGGCTCTTTATGGATGAGAACAAGTCAATAGATCTGTGATATTGAGATTGCTCTCCTACACTCACCATTCAGACTCGTGTTTCTAATTTTTGTGCTGGATTAACTATTCTACTAAGACAACCTTTAACATGCTAACTCTGACTTTTACATGAAAACTGTGTGGCAGGCATAGGATGATTAAAAAAACTGACTGTAAAGGATATGGTTGCTATTTTACTCAACACTCTACTCTCTATATGCACTCTCTGTTCTTCCTCATTCCAACCCTGACTTCTCTCCTTCATTGGAACCTACTCCACCTTGATAAATATCACAACTCATTGTTCTTTATTACTGGATTCTCTCCTCTAGAGCCCTTAATCGCAGTTCACTCTTGCAACATGAGCTAGTTTCAATTTAATCTAATAATTTATCATACCTCCATCTGTTCCACCAATAAATGTTGAGCCTTGGTTATCGTTCATATCCAAATGCCTTGCTGCTCCTCGGTTTCTTTTTCTTTTTTACTCTTCAGAATCTTGCTCTGAGGGTGAAGCTATGTAACTTCGAACATCTGGAACAAGCTCGACGAACGCGCTTTCCCAAGGTCATAGCTCGAACCAGGCGCTCCACAAGCCTAGTTTATAACAACTATAAACTTAAAAAGCTGCATTACATAAATACTTAGCACGGCCGAAAGCCTAATACACTTTTTGTCGAGATTGGATCTGGTATGTAACGTGGACGTGATGCCCCTTTGGAAACTATTCTTATGAAAACACATTAAATGTGAACGAATGAACTGCTATCAAATTTTATAGATTATAATTACTAAATAACCTTGCTTGGGATGCATACTGTGAACCAGTATATGTTGTAAATTGTAGATCATGCCTATAACACTGGCGTGTACCTGCTATTGCAGAAAGATATTATTAATATATGTGGTTAATAATTGAACACATTGTTCTTTCTTCTGACGGTTTTTTAAGGTTTCTTCTGAAGTTGGTTTGGCATTCATGTGGCCGAACAAATTTATCTGTCTTCCTCTACGGTTCTTTAAATCTAACAGATAGAGTCTCCTGAGCGCATACTAGGATGCAAATGTTTCGTAGTTTTAGTTAATCTTCACAGTTTAAGCTTTTGAAAGTCATGTTTTTACCTCATTTATCAAAGTCACGTTCATCAATCAGTTGTGAAGGTTGTGACTGAAACCTTGAAAATTTTTCCAACTCATTGATAGATGATCTATCTTCGGTTACTAGAGATTAACAAGTCATAATAGGAGAACCTTCCTATTTATTTATTAGATTGTGACTTCTAAGACTAGGCTGCTTTTTCTCTCATACTCAGGGTTTTTACTTTGATGAGTTTAACCACAGCATCGGAATCTGATAATTACTGATTCCAAAATCAGAAGTTCCGTACTCCTGACTTCAAGGAATGAACCACTAGACATAACAGTTTCTTAGTGTGAGATAAATTCTTGGATGCTGTTAATGATGAAAATGTTAGCTCACTATTTGTATAAGGTTGTATTCGGTCTGAAGCAGGTCCAGTATCACACTTAAAAATCTATGCAGAATAAGTACATAAAAGACTTATTGCGTTCAAAGTCAGCACATTAAAATACATTGTGTTACAAAATGCATATAATTTTCGGGTAAGAGAGCGGGTGATAGGACAGAGTGAACGGCTGTAAGAGGAAACACCTAACTATCTAGGATGTATCTGGTTAGGATACAGAGGAATAAGGAAAAAGTTGGTGTACAAATTAGTAAATCCATGACGTAAACTTGATGGGAAATATAACCTTGAACCTACTATCGCATCCTACGAGATGATCCTCGATAGACTGCGCAGCAAAGACCAAGCCTTCGTAAGGTTCCATTTTTCGTTTCGACTAGTCGGTCTCATGTGTATTATACAGCTCGTGTGAAACCAGGCTCTCAGTAAACAGCTTCAGAAGACCATTTTATGATCGTCTATATATCCAAGGTGTATCATCTTTCTCCTGGAATGGAGTCTAACTATATCTGTGAATGGAAGAAGACATTTTACACTTACAGCCTATCCTGAAATATGTCTCGCGAATCATCTACCATTTTTATACATTATTTTTCTCATCATATTTTTTATCAACAATACATCCTACTAACTTCACCCCTTGTCATCACTGTTTATCTGTTTGCACTATTACTTTAATATATTCATCTGTTAATTCACACTAACTACCTGAAACCGTACAGAGTACAAATAAATTAATTGATTTATAGAAGGTCGTGACAAAGATTTTTGAGATCCAACCAATCTAATTACTTCTCTTGATTCGTCTTTGCACTACTAAATATTCAGTTTTCATAGTTATGTGGACCCTGTGATCTTCTGCTCATTGTGGCTTGTTTTCCATAAGAGATTCGATGAAATGTTAAAATTATTTGTTTTTCTGTATCTGTATGATACTATTAACAATCATCTTTTTCAAGGGGTCCCTCTGCTTTTGTGAAAATTCGCAAGGTTTTTAAAACGAATTATTTTGTTCCGTATATTTTTATTTTGTTTTTGGACTTTATTCGTTGTTCATAATATCAATTTTTATAAACTTCATCATTTGTTTTCGCTGTAGTTTCGTACAGCACGAATTAATAATTAGAAATAGGACATCATTTTCCGTAGCTCTAATCCTTGTCCTTTCGGCGTCGATATTCATTTGGAAGTTGCGTAGACGCTCGGCTTTCTTCGAAGTCATCTCAGGGTATATTTTGATCTTGGAATAACCTCTTGTCCAATCTAGGTACTATGGCGACTTTTGTGATCGTATATCATAAACACTATTACAGAAATGTAATAATGCACATAAAATGCGGAGTTGAACCACTGTTTTGTATGAAAGTCTACGGCGCGGAATTGAATAATGCTTATTTTTTGTCCCTTATCACGACTGTCAGCAAACTGTTTGATATTAAGTGACTTGCCAACCGGATAGAACTTCGACCAATAAGCCAAATAATATTGATAAATACTGTCCGAATATGTCACGGTCCGTGGAGAATAAAATTTCAAGGCTATTTACATCTACCATACGTTTGGACCTAGGGTAAATTATTAGTGTTGGCACATCGCATAACAAATAGTACTTCCGCATATATATATATATCGATGTCCCACTAACAAATGATGTATCGCTGTGTAAAGTGGAGCTTTAACTTAAATATGAGAGAATTCGATATAGTAACAACTTTTATAAAACATTAATCGCACTGTGTATCGTGTATTCGATTGGTAATCACTACTCTCACAAATAATGATCCCACGTCTTGTCAGAGATGGGTTTTTCAAGCTTCTTCATAGTATTGTCGATTATTTGTCCATCTTATAAACTATTGGGATAAGCTCAGCTGATTTTGAAAAGGTTTTAAGTATTCAAGATGATGACGGCCATAGAGTTCAGATATGGAAACTTCAGTCCGGAAAACTTCATATGAAGTTACTTATTATCTTGCGAAAGAATCCACAGATCATTTTATGGAAGCAGATAATTGGTCACTTGTTTAGTCAGAGATGTGAGAAGACAAAGATAAGAATTGCAAAGTTATTTAGTATGAATATCCATCTTTTAATGAAGGCACTGACAACTGACTATGTTTCGACAAAATGTAACACTAATTTAATGGATAGCATGTGTATGGTTGAAACAAGCTTAGTTTTTCTGCACAGGTTCTGTTATTACAAACCTTCTTCGTCTTGTCTAAATATGAACAAGAAAACATAACCAAGCTTTATCAATAAGTGGTTCCAATTACACTTTCTCTATGAAAAAACTCAGTCGATTACTACCTGCTCACATCTTATTAACACTGTTCATTGTGTTTAAAAATATAGAGCGTCATGTCGTTCTCAGTTGGGCCATGTAAGTATTTGAAATGATTCCGTAAAATCAGAACAACTTATGCAAATCAATTTATTTATCAAACCATTATTGAGAATTGATGTTGATAGAGTGGTGAAATGTATGCGTCTCTTACATGTTTATTAGGATCGTAACTAATTCCGTGTTGTTTTAATTATTCAAAGTTCTGTTTCTAGGTCGTCGCTATTTACGTACTTTTTATAAAAGTTTTCTCTTTTGTCACTTAATAATAACAATCAAATGAAGTGTATAATACAAAGTTACATACTGTGAAAAGGGATAAATAATATCATCGTTGTATGGGTTCTTCAACATCGAAGCATCCCTTCAATGCGTAAGTATAATATTCGGGATTAAACTTTTCACTTAAAAACCTAATGCAGAAAATTTTTTTCAGAGACGTTCCTCGCTGATATAGGTTGCGACAAGTAAGTTAAGAATATTTGCATATCAGATTCTTTAGTAAAGGTACTGTTTTGTGCAAGGATGAGGGTTTACCGTGTTTAAATGGTGGGATTTGCGCTCTTTATGTATCCGACATAGACGACAAGTGCATTAAACGCTGCAAGTAAGTGTTTATCAACTACCTGTGACTTTTTTAATTTTTATGCCTACTTTATTTCAATTAACCGGTATAAAATTTTCAAAATGCTGTTTTATTATATATATCCAAATATGTGCCAAAAATGTTCTAACACTTCCAGAGATCACAATTTTAAAGATGGTTCTGGAGAACGTTTTTCAATCAGATTAAGTTAGATTTGTTTTTTACAAGTTTTTCTAATGGTTTAACCACTGGTAGGCTAACTCGGCATAAAATAAACTTCACATTCTTTCAATTTTTTCGTTTTCATTAAGGAATTATGTAACGAAGTATGATTAGACAAAAATTGATATGTCTTTGAAGTATGCAGAAAAGAAAGTCTATTTTTTAGTCTTTAAACTCAATGAAATTATTGAGTTCAAATAGAGCGACTTTAGACTTTAAGATCTGCTTATATGTACCATATGTTATGACTCGATTCTCTTAAACAAGAACAGTCATATGAATTTCATGAAATTTTCGGCTAAATCTCAAAACGGTTTTGTTGCTTTCATTATTTCATCTTGGTAAGGTTTTCAGCTCATACTAAAAGTTTTATTCTGAAATTTTCATCTTTACGTTTATATAGGGAAGACCCATATGTTGAATCGATCCACAAATATACATCAAAGCGATTCCGAAAAACAAAGGTGACTCATTCACCTTCTAATACTGTGTGTCATAGGAAATATAACCAATTTGTTTCTGTAATGGGAGGCTAGCTTTCTATTTCTTCGATATGCGTTGTAAGAGTGAATCTAAGAAGCAAGTAGAAAACGATTTAAGGTAGCTGACGAGCCTTTTTGACTGAAACCTCTAGAGCCATGCGAGTGACCAAGTTATATTACTTTAATGCGGACAGACTTTCCATGGATAGCGAATAGCAGATATGTAATAAAATAGTTGCACTTGCCAAACTTTCAGTATAACACAGAAGAATTCACAACAAAGTTATCGCATCTGAGGCTTCGTAATATTGTTCAACAAATTAGTCTTAAATTATGTGTATGTGTAGTTCAGCGTCTTCATCTGTTTTGACCACTAATTTTATTTAAGGTAAATTATGAAGCAATATTTCGATGCGTCTAAAACTTCATAGTGCTTCTAACCTGAAGTTGTATAACTTTGCATAGTCGCCTCTACTTTCATTTTCTGTGTCCTTTTAGCCCGTCCTGCAAGTTGGCTTTTAATCAGAGTTAGAAACTGAAATAACATTCATCCAAAACGTTTTAACAGCGAATGTACACAGAAGGTTTTACTTTTGGTCTATTCAAAATTCTAAATGATTATGACAAATACAGTTCAAAATTCTGTAGTGTAGAGCACCAATTGTTTTATCTACCATCTTTTAGAGCCTAGAGGAGAAATTAGTTAATGAATGAAGTCTTAACCTTTGCAAACTGCACATTTTATTTGTATGCATCATTTTAATTTGCAATTATTGTTAGTTGAACGTGTGTAAGTTGAATGGTGATACACTCAAATGAAAAATGGATTATGAAATAAAAATACCGGACTCCTTTGAACGTTCATTCTTAATACTGATATATCAACAGCTGATATCACAAAGAATTTTGATTAAGTTGATACATCCAACCCAAACGACTTACAGATTTCAGTATCTATAGCGAAAAGAAAGAACAAAGTGTTGTGGAGCTTTGTTGAAATTATAAAACTAAATCCATGACATTTTACGATTGATAGTATTAAATCTGCAATCGGAAACATCACACATGTTTAGTAGTTGATAACCTTATGGAATAGGCACCACATCAACAGTACATTTTGATAGTAACAACCTGATATGAGCTCTAAATGTTTAAAAATAGTGACTTTATTCAAGATGTTAAGCATTAGGAGGCTAGATATTTTCGTCGAAAAGAAATAAGTTGCGTAAATTAAATTGATCATGGCAAGAGATTCATTTCTCCACATATCAAAAACTTTTGACTGATATTTTGCCTATCAACGTTTTGATAACCATGAGAAAACTGCTTGAATAATAAAATGTAAAAATAAACAGCCACTTGTAGGAACCAAAGTATTTAACTTATCAAGTGTTAAATTTATCAATCTAATGTTTAACAAATATAGTAGAGTAAGAATAAAAACAATATTAAGCGGAATACACTACGAATTGAATAGTTTATTCTTTTATCCCTGGACCATTCCGATTATCTTTGTGGTTTCTATTGCAAATTAAAAAAATCCATATTAAGAGTAGCTTATTATAGGATTTCTATCTAGTTGTATGGAGTTCAATTCACCCCGGTATGAATTTTCTTTGATAACAAATACACTGTAAATGTGTTCAAAACAATTCATTTCTTGTACATAGGTATTACCTACTGACAATTCATCTTACTTGAACTAATCATTGGGGAACTACTGGGAGATACTGAGCATATCGGAAGTATAGTTTACTGGAATAACAGTTCAAGAAAGTTCGATTGTGTCATTACATTTTTTTATTTGCTTGACATTCTTTCAAGATAAATACCAACGAAAAATACCCAGTTTCATAGGTTTCAGAATTTTTTATGGCAATGCAGATTTATAGCATTTTTATGAATATATTTATATTATATTGACTGTAGCAGTACTGAATTTACAAGGGCTTGTTCAAAATATAAAATTGTTCACTTACTAAAAGAATAATGAAAACACAGAGAAAACAGTGGGTAGATTAAATTAACATAAACTACAGTGTTTATTTTATGAAATCGATCATTAACTACTGTTCACACGTTTAAAAGAATCCGCTTATTATTTCTCGTGTCTCAATAGTGAGTTTCAATGAGAATATTTGAAATTCATGAGATTGTAAACTCGTATATGATTAGATAACTAAATTGAAAAGAAGGTCCGATGTTACAGTAAGAATGGTATTCAATAGTGTTCAATCACAAATGGAATTAGACAGATATCAAATATTGTACTGATTGGTGGTCATTAATTGCAGTTAAAATGAGGGCCATTCTGCTAAAACGAGGTTCAATGATCCTGAGTTTTACCGTGGATGCGGTAAGAAATGCATAATGCTGATAAACCGGAAGCTAATATAGGACAGGTAGCCAGTTGATCCATATTTTGATGACCTTTCAGGTAGAATGCGAAATTTTAGGCTTAAATTTTATTTACTGTGAATGGTGAAAAAGAATAATCAAATTTCTTAACTTTCAATAATTTCTAGATGTTTGCAACCACTTACATTACGAATAGTGGATTTTGGCTTCAAGTTACGACAAAAATAAGTACTTCCAGAAAACTGAAAATATTACTAGGTTTGAGCTGGCTTCAACTTTCAGAAAAATAACCACGTATAACAAAACAAACTAAGTGCTCACCATCCCTAAACTTTGAAACTAGCTCTATAAATATGATGCAAGATCAACTTCGTATTTGAACAAAGAATTTTAGTCTATTTCTACTCAGTAACGTCAAGTGGTGACTTGGAATCAAAAGTTAATAGGGATGGAGTGTTTAATAGATCATAGATATCAGCAAATGATCCATGTAGAATAGGTGGATAGTTCTGCGCGAAAAATTGACAAAAAGGGCCAAAAGTGGTAGAGATCATGTTGGCCAGAAAGCATTTCAAAGGGAAATAAATAAAGAAAATAACCTCCTTGCTACTTAATTTTTTAACTTACTATGTTTCGTTAGAAAGACAAAATGATGTGCATTAGTGGGGGTTATTGGTTTCAACTGTTAATCGTTTATGCCGTTGTACAAATTCGGATATACCATTATATATGTAAAGAAACTCACAAGAGTACATAGAAAAACTAGTGGGTTAAAATGATTTTTGACAGTCAAAGGTAGTTTAGAAGGATAGAGGGAAATCTAGGAAAAATAATAAAGTAAATTTCCTTACAAAATACTTAGAATACATGTTTTAAATGATTAAATGATTAGATAAGCAAAAATACAATTTACTTTTAATCGAATAGATAAGTGATTATATTGATTAGAAATTATACGTTTACATATGTATTCATCGGTCAATGACTGTTATTAGTTGCATGTTTAGTAAATTAGCCATAGTAAATCAAATACATCAGATTTATTTTATTACAGTTTTCAGCATCATGTGAACTCACTGTCATAGACCACGTGAATATTAAAAAAGAACTAGTAATTTTGTCGACTTAAATTAAACATAAATAACTGGAGAAAACAACTGGAAACTTATCAGATTGACTAAAAGCGAATTAAACTCAACGAATCCCATGACTGGGCAGTATAGTAAAGATTATATCTTTTAAATGACATCTATGAACTACTGAACGTTGGATCATTTCCATATGTATGTCCTTGAGAAAACGATATTTTAGTACTCAACGAATTTTTTCAGTCACAGGATTGGTTGAACTTATGATAATAGTTAAAAATAGTTTCAATTTACTCCCGAGTTACGTCATCTACTCAGAACTGAACTATAAACTTATATTTGTATGTTGTTTTGAATTCATGGACGAATGCTGGCTAAAATGATATTGCGTCATTTAGTTTGGTCATATTGTTTGAATTACCATTTTAAATAGTCATTTATGTTAAAGAAAGAAAAGTCTTTATGCTAGCCGATATCTAAGTCGAAATGGCTACTACGAAAGAAATTAATAGGTTTAATTAAAACGCTTAGTAAAATATATAAACTTTGAATAATCACAATAATGCTTAGTTTGCGCTATTTTAAACATGTTTGATTAGGATATAAAAAATATAAACTGTAGGCCTGTATTTGTCACTTTATTTTATCGTCATAAAAAGTTTCTTGTGACAAGTTAGTCAAAATGTCATTTTAGGTAGGATTATTATTTTCCTGATCAAAATCTTTTTTATCCTCTACCTAACAGGATAACTCGAAAAAATTAAGGATTTCTACTAAAATAAGTAATTCATACGCTTTCATTCCACTATACAAAAATAAATACATAATTAACATGCTATAAAACAATTTTTTATCTAGCTATTTTGTGAAA